AGATCCCATAGGAGTTGCGGTTTGGCTGACTTTTTAACGCCCCGCTGGTTCCTTTCGGATCCGCAGTCCGATACTTGCCCCGCCAGAACCCAGAATCAAACAGCCCAAGATGGCCCCACGAACGAGAGTTGGCATCTATCTTGGCTACGTTCAACATGCGGGGGGGCGTGTAGGCCTGACCATTACTGTATGCCCTTAGCACAGCTTGAGGGATTGAACTTCACTGCTGGCATGAAGGCGGACGGCGCCAGGCCCATCATCGAGAGATCTGAACAGGTGTGGACGGACACTAACGTGGAACAGAATGATATAGGCTCTCCAGATGGGATCGTCGACAAAGTCGACAAGAATTCCGCCGTGCATTTCCCGCTCAGGCGCGCTGACGACAAGGCCGCCGCGAACGTTGAAAGCGTTACCCTAGAAGCTCTGTTTTCGGGCGGGAATGCCGAGGGAGAACCGAAAGAGAAACCGCATACGAAATCCGGGGGGGGCGTCTAGCTCCCATGAGGGCATGATGCCAGAACCGGACGCTCCTGACGCCCATGGCATAGAAGGAGGACATGGCGACGGGGTTGACGAGGCCTTGGTTGGCCATGATCCGACGGACGACGAAGGCCCGTCGGGCCCTCCTCCTGGCCCAGAACTTCCGCCAGGTGCCAAGCGCAGAAGAGTGGAATTCAGCGCGGTGAACGTCGGTGAGAACTTCGCCGAGTCGGAAGTCATCATTGCCAGACAGACCAAATTCCTTGCGGCCCTTGCCAGGGGAGAACCGAAGGCTGAGCAGGCAATGGCAAGAACGACGCAAAACCTCGACACGGGAGAATACTACGAAAAGAACGCCGCGGATGTAGGAAAGACGATGGAGGAGCTCACGAAGCCACTCCCGTTGAAGACCAAACAGAAAACAGCACATTTTCGGGTAGTCTTCTACTACGACCCATACTACAGAAGACCGAATGAGGTGGATGTGCACGACGAAGCGCGCGGCCATGCTATCCTCCGGCGCACGCAGAAGGAGTCTACCAATCCAGGCGCCCGCCCTGATCGATGGTTCAAGACGGGCGGGCCTGAACGCAAGAGACCCACTGAAGAGTGCAAAACCGAGAAAAAGGGATTTTACGGCCTGGAGGATCCAGGCCCGAACACAGATTCGTTGAGAGCCATGGGCATCGATATGCCTAGGCCAGCGCCTACCTACATCATGGCTGCTGCTGCTGCTGCCCCGTCGAGGACAGTACATTTAGACGAAGATGCGTTGAAGGACTTCCAGACATGGCGCACAGAAGCGCGCACAACAGATGAAGAAACAGGGTCGTCCAATGGACGGCCCTCGAGTACCGAAGACGAAAGTGACTGGGATCGTACGGCATCAGACTGCGCGGCCGCGACCAGACGTCGCGGCGGTCTTCGCATGCCCTTCCGCGGGAGAGATGCTGGTCATGACGATCATCGGGAGAAAGCCTGCCTGCTTGCCGGCCCTGCTACAATCCGTTCACGGATTCCATGCAGACCGGGGAACGGGAGGCGATCTTCGCCCTTCCATTCGAACTACATGCTTCCAAAATCAGCCACTACGCATGCGTCGCTCGCCCCGTTACCAAGGCGGAAGCGGCCAATAACGAGAAGGCCCAGAAAGCACTGATGAATGAGTGGGGACGTCTGAGAAACATAAAGACGTGGGACGAGTCAAAAGTTCAAGAGCTCCGTGACGTCAAGGCAATGATGAAAGGGAAGACCTTTCACATTGGCAGGCCGTTTGCGATCCTAGTCTAGAGAAATGCTGAAGTTCCCGAGGATCACAAAGATCGCAAATTCAATGGAAAGGTCGTATTCAACGGCTCCGATGTGGTAGATGAGGACCACGACATACAACAGGCAGATGCTCGACAGGCGCACACGCAATCCAAACTAGGGGGCACCCCGACATGGGTGCGATTGCCCAAAGAAGCTTGGCCAGAGAGCTGGGCAGGCATGCTTGATCCAGCGCGCCCTCTGTTGTTAGCGTTGTACGGACATCCTGATGCAGGCGGTTTCTGGGAACAACACCGCGAGGCCCACGTCGTGTCCAAGGGATTCATTCCGATTCCCTGTTGGAGAAGCTGTTATTAGTATCCAGAGCTTGACTTGTTTTTGATAGTATATGTAGACGACTTCAAGCTCGCGGGCCCCTCTCACAACTTGAAGACAGGATGGGATCTGATCCTCAGCCCGTCCGAGACGGCCCCTGAAGGAATCGATATGGACCCTCTGAGAAGTGGTCGACTGGCAAGGCGCGGCCCCGAGTGTGCAGCACAACCGCGCAGCCCCGATCTACTGCGACACATCGTTCCACGCCCCCAAAGGACACAGCGCGTGGGTGAGATACGACGCTAGTACCATGAGGTACCATACACCCCTGCCGGGCGGCCCTGAAGGGCGCAAGGTCACCCGTAGAATAGCGTTCGATTACGACACATGGGAGGAGCTCGGTGACACTGCATATGCTGGTGGGATGGTGGCTAGTTCAGCTGCCGCCGCTGAGATGCGCTTCCGAGCGTTGCTCCCCGGTGGCCAGCACAACACGATCACGATACTCGTGTTCCAAAACGATAACGCTGAAGCTACTATTTTCACGCCCCAGAGCCCCACAGACCAGGACTGGACTCGGGAAGTGCGGCGCGCGGCCCCAGCTCCGCCACCGCCGATTCCGCCGTCTGAGTACAAGCCAGGACCCAAGACGAAAGTGCGAATCATGGAATACGACATGGTCGAATTCTTCAAGTCCCGCATCTCCTCGCACGCAGAACTCACGGACACTGACCAAGACACCTATCCGCTATCAGGCACACCCTTCGGCCCTGAGTTAACGCCCCTTGAAGACGGCCAGGGTGGCCCACGAGGTGAGGTCTTAGCCCCTGCTGAAGAGGCCCTGGCCGAATGCTTACGCATCGATGCAGTTGTCGGACCTCCCGACGCTGAGGTCCACGCGGCGGGCCCTCCCATGGAGGGGCCACCAGCCCCTGATCCCAAGCCTCCTGCTCCGTCAGGAATACTGCAACCGATTGCAGCTACAGTTATGATGAAGATTCTGCACAGAGCACGTATGGCACGCCCTGATCTGCTCAATGACGTATGCAAGACAGCTGCGTGCGTCACTACATGGACGGAACAACAGGATATAGACCTATTCCTAATTATCTGCTACCTGAAGGCCACGACTCACTACCGCCTGGTGTCCTGGGTGGGAGATCGCCGTGAGGACGTGTGGCTACGCCAATTTGCAGATGCCGATCTGGCAAGTGACATACGCACGCACCGCAGTACCAGCGCGAGCACACAGTTCTTGTGGGGAGAGAACACACGAGCGCTTCAGAGCTGTAACTCCCGCAGACAGACCGCGGTGTCTCATGGCACATTAGAAGCGGAAATTGTCTCAGCCGATGAAGCACTCAGAAGAGAATTCCTGCCAGCACTTCCTCTATGGGAGATGCTACTCGGTCACGCGCCGAGGGCGGAGTTCATGGAAGGCAACCAAGCCGTCGTGAAGGTTTGCAAGGCGGATGGCTCTCAAAAACTCATGCACCTGCCGCGTACTCACCGAATCGACGCTTCCGCTGTAGCGGAACAACTTGCAAGGGGCACAGTGAACATAGTTCACTGTCCCACACATGACCATGCCGCCAGATTCGAGCAGCCTCCTTTGTGGACCAAGGTGCTCTATCTCGTGCAGGTCGTGGCCCCGACTTTCTGGACAGCCCCGTCCTACCAGGAGTACTTGGACTCCCCATTCGAAGGCGATGCGGGACTTCCCCTGAAACCCGGGGGGCTTCTCAAGCCAGAGCTCGGCGCAAAGTCCAGACTTCGCAACGGCGGCAAGATTCGCCAAGAAGAAGCCCAAACGTCGAAACAAGGGCAAACCCTCCGCTGAGGCACCCGCCAACCCCCGGGTTCATAACCGAGCGGGAACACCAGCGGAGGCGGCTGATGAACAGGGGAATGCGCAAGGTAGCCATGCTACCGCTGCTGATCCTGATGCCGCAGTAGGTTCCAGCGAAACATCCCGACAACGCCTGTTCATAGAACTTTGCTGTGGGCCTAACAGCCGGCTAGGGGATCAATATCACATTCCCGATCAACACTGCACGGTGGTGCGTTTGACCGCAACGAAGACGTGATTACCGAGTAAGGCAAAGCGCTTGCCGCGGCAAAAATACAGGAATTCGAAAAAGAAATGAAAAGGCAAGGCAATGCCACGGACAAACGAATAACATGCACGGGCGGATCTCCATGGCAATACGTGAATGAAGCCATACATTACCGCTGGGGCAACGAGAAAGCCCTTAAGAAATTGAGGGGCAACGTAACACTGTTCCGAAAGCTGTCATGGGTAGTTCGCGATTTGGCCCAGGAGGTAGACAAGAGAAACGGCCAAATATGCCTTGAGTGGCCGACCCCGTGCCGATACTGGCCCGATCCACATGTGAAAGAGTTTTTGAACCAGCCTAACGTGACAAAGATACAGTTCCATGGCTGCGCATATGGCTTGACAAACAATAAAGCACAGTATATGAAGAAGCCATGGAGTATCGCTTCGTCGTCGAACGTGATTGCCGAGGGATTTGCACGCAGATGCGACGGCAGCCACAAGAATGTTGAAGCGAGAGGGAAGGATTGCAAGCAGGCGGAAAATTACACGGATGAATTCGCGAGATGCGTCCATCTGCTGGCGTTGAGAGCACTTGAGGACAAGGCATGTAATAGTACCATGTACGGTGCCTCTTTGAATGCTGCCCCTGCCGCTGCGCGCGCGCATGTGCGTGCTACCGCTGCCATTTTGGCTCGAACCGGCGCCCTCGCGCAGCATCCCGACGCGGCTGACTCGCCGGCCATTCCGCACCGGCGCCCCGGTTGCGCCCGCATCCCTCGGCAGCGGGCCCCGCAGGTCCGCAAGTCACGTGAAGTGGGGCATCGTACGCCCCCGTTCCAGACAGCGTCTCTTCATTTGAGACTCCGTTAGGACCATGTCGTGCATCACGCACGGCGGCCTGCGCGGGTTCTGGGGCAAGATGTTCCAGAACGGGCAAGATTGCCCGAACGCTTCCGAGCATCAACCGGCGGCGAGGATCATACGCTCCACGGACATGAGTGACGAAGACAAGCTCTCAAACATCATAAAGGAAGCAACGAGTCTCCTACATCTCTCCAAGAATATCCTGGGAGACCCTCGCCTCGAGCGTCGTTATCGCTCGGGGTGCACAACGGAGATCAACAAGTATCGTCTGGCCCAGTTCTCATTACCAAATGGCCAATGGCATGATTTTCATTCGCATTACTTCACGAAGACTCAAGGAGCCGACCAGCGCAACGATCACGGGGGCACGATGACACCCATGCCGAGCCTGGGCGGGGGCGAGTTTACACCGCACTTGCACCCATGGTGCAAGACCCCAAACCTGTACCATGTACTCGGGATCGAACCAGAGCAGACAACGACAAAGGAGTTCCGCGAAAGGTATCGCGTCTTGCACACGGACAGGCTGGCACAGCAGCCTGGCAACGGGCTCGATCAAGTCGGATTGCTCGCACAGATATTCAAGAAGCCGACCTATCGACCCACGGTCCACCTCCCGCAAGATATGTATCATGCTATCTGAAACTCTGTCAGCGCGGGCAACGCCCCTTGGGTTGGGGTATTGGAGCCTTTCATTCAGGGCAAACGTCCCCCTGTCCTCCGAGGCAAGGTCTCTGTCTGGGAGGTTCCCCGTGCACTGGGCGGGCACCGGACGATCGACGACTTGAGCGCTGTCGTCACGACACCCTGGTTGGATGCGGAAGCTCCCATGGAGTATCGCATGACCCCGCCATTCTTCACCCACGAGCAAAACGAAGCCTTGCCTTGCGCGTGGCTCCAGGAACCGACCGACAAGCTGTACGAGGCGCTGGAGAGTCGTACTCCCCGAGAGCTATTCCAGTGTTTCTACAGGATCATCTCGGACAGGTTCTACTCCCTTCACGCCACGCCCCCCGACCGCGTCGACTGGACTGGCGCAGCAGGCGAGCCCGAGACGGTTCAGCTAGGACCCGCTGCACGCATCCGCTACCCCACGAGGGAGAACGAGCCCCTCGGGGAGAGCGTGCTCGGTAAAGGGGTGCTCCTACACGATGTTGAACGCATGACCTCCTACGAAGGAATCAGCTTCGCCGACCTGGGGGCCCACGTGAGGGACTACCCGAGTTACCCCGTGGTTCAGCATCCATTCCATCGCCCTGCATGGGAAGGTGACCCATGGCCCTTCGTCACAATGGAGGGCCGCAGGGCACTACCAGGATGGAATACGAGGTCGAGTTCGCGGACAGTCTTGTACCGCATAGACCACCCTTCGGGTGATAAGGAGGCGAGGGGGGGGGGCCACCGTCGCACTCGATCGATCTCACTATCGATCTCGCTATCGATATCATTATCGATCTCGTTCGATCTATCTCACAATCGATCTGGCTATCGATCTCACACTCGATCTCACTAGCGGTCTCACTATCGATATCACAATCGATCCCACAATAGATCTCACAATTGAGCTGGCTATCGATCTCACGATCGATCTCACATTCGGTCTCACGATCGATCTCACTACCGATATCACTATCGATCTCATTCGATCGATCTCACAATCGATCTCACAATCGATCTCACATTCGGTCTCACTGTCGATCTCACTATCGATATCACAATCGATATCACAATCGATCTCACAATCGATCTGACTATCGATCTCACTATCGAACTCACTATCGAAGTCATGATCGACCTCTCGTTCGATCTCACTATCGATCTTACTATCGATATCACAATCAATACCACAATCTACCTCACATTCGGTTTCACAATCGATCTCACTATCGAACTCACTATCGATCTCACTATCGATCTCACATTGGGTCTCACTATCGACCTCACTATCGATATCACAATCGATCTCACAGTCGATCTCACATTCGGTCTCACTATCGATCTCACTACCGAACTCACCATCATCACCACCATCATCATCACCATCATCATCATCGTTGTCAAGATCATCATCATCATCATCATCATCATCATCATCGTCATCATCTTCACCGACGGGACACCGACGGGACACCGGCGGGACACCGCGGGGCCCCGGCCGCCTGGAAGGGAGTGATTTGGTCCGGCCGCGCCTTAGCCACACGGGACACCAGCGGGACACCGGCGGGACACCGCGGGGCCCCGGCCGCCCGGAAGGGAATCATTTGGTCCGGCCGCGCCTCAGCCACAGGAGACTTTCTCTCGCCCGCCCACGCACGGCACGCACGAACACGAAACCGACATCGATTTCCCGGTAGGGGGGCTCTCCGTTCCACTTCGATCTCACCCCCTCACCTCCGACATTACGAATGGCTGAAGCGCTCGGACTACGTGTCTCCTGACCGCGACCAGCGTCTCCTACAGGGTCTGCCCGACTGTGCACTCGACACGAGTCCTCTCTACGTTGCGCCAGCGGCGAACATCAACCTTCGAGAGCAGTTGAGACGTGACGACATGGCGGATCGTGCAAATATTGCTCAGAAGGCAGCCCCCGCGGCAGCGCGCCATGCACCGCCCGAGGATGGCCCTGCCTCGAACCGCTGAAATCGCACGAGGACGGAAGGCCAAGGACAGTCCTCGAAGGGGCCGGCAGAGAGCGGACCCGCATCGCCGCCGCCCAAGGCTCCTCCTCGGGGCGTGCCGCCGCGGAAGGCACCACCGAAGCCTCAGGCCCCCGGCGCGCCTCCGCCGCGCACCGCCCACGGCGAGGGTCGCCCGTCGAAGCCGCAGGCTCCCGGCGCGCCTCAGCCTTACACCGCCCATGGCGAAGGTCGCCCGGCGAAGCCGCAGGCTCCCGGCGCGTCTCCGCCGCATACTGACCGTGGCGAAGGTCGCCCGTCGAAGCCCCAGGCCCCCGGCGCGCCTGCGCCGCACCGCGCATCTGGCGAAGGCCGCCCGCCGAAGCCTCAGGCCCCCGGCGCGCCTCCGCCCGCCCTCGCAGATGCCGCAGCGGAAGGCGCCGCCACCGAACGTGCCGACAGGGAAGCCCCCGCCTTCGGGGTGGAGGCCGCAGCCGACGGACGATCGCATGCCGCCGACGCCGCCCCCAGGCAGCCCCCAATCAGCAGGGGGACAGGGCAAGCCCCCGCCGACGACGCTGCCGAGGCCGAAGGCGGGGCCTAACGTACATCACCCAGACCAGGCCGCAGCCCATGCGGATGGCAGGGAGCAGCAGGTACCTGGTGATTACGCAAGCGAAAACATGACGGGTTCGGAAGAACGCCCGCGCAGAGCGCGCGAGCAGCAGGAGGCAGCCAATCGCCCTCCAGAGGCGGAGATTCCAACCGTGCGTCCGCCCATGGCTCGGACGGCATGGACCAGCAGGCGACTGGCGGCTACGAGACCGAGGAATCATCAGGACTGACGCAGCGTCTCCGCCGACTCCAGGAACAAGAGGAGGCCAGGCAGGCTGCCGCTGAAGAACAACAACGGCGAGCCTCGGCGCCACCTCCCTCGGACGATTCGACGCCGCCTGACCTCGGAACGCCGACCCCTGAGAAAACCCACGAAGAACCTGAGCAGAACGTAGAGCAGGAGCAGGACCTGCCCGACGTGGACATGGAGCCCAATCGGCCACAGAAAGAAGAGGAGAAGTTGGAGCCGATTCTGGAGGAAGTGACGAGGGCCCCGGACGGCCATGTCGTCGAGGACTCTCCGCCTCCCGAGAAGACAGAAGTTGACCAGACTGCTCACGACGCGCCTGATCCTACACAAGAAGGTGTGAAGGGCACGGGGAGTGCAGATACCCAGGGCCATGCCCACGGTACCAATTTAGCTGAACAGGCCCAACAGCCCATGGCTGGCCGCTCACAAGCCGACGATTCCAAGACGGCAAAGAAGCAGAGTAAGTGTGCTCTTGCAAACAAAGTGGGCGTGCACGGCTATTGGAATGCCCTTGACTATTGTTATGAACGTTTCAAGAAAGAGGGCAACCCTGATCCTCGTCTGGACCTGACCGCCATGTCACCGAATGGGCCGAGGGCTGAGTACGTCACGGCGGTGAAGTCGCCTGGCAAAACCCTCGCCTACGTCATAAAACCAGAAGCTGCTACTGCGTTCACCAAGCTCGACTTCCCTCAAGCGTGCGCTGCACTCAGTAGCCTCTTCAAGGCTACGGGGAGTCCTTCTCGCATTTCGGGGGAAGCGATCTACCTTGTCGCTGCCTATGACATACCGCATTCGACGTGGTTCAGGCCGATCCCAACGAAGACATGGACTGGCAAGATCGAGGCTGACATGGACGAGGGCGAAAGGATGTTCAATGATGTGGAATATCTCGTCTCCTCGGACTCCACAGTAGCGCTCCTCAACGCCAAAGGAAGTCCAGTACTGAACGCCGCCTTCAAGCAACAGCTCGACGGCCGTTCATCCGGATCGCGCGTACACATCAAGAACGGCGGAAGCCTGGACGACGTTCGAACCAAGTTACGCCCCATGAACTGGGAGGCGCCCCTTGGGCGCAGCAAGACCCGATGCCAGGTCATGATATGGAACGGCAACGAGCTGCGCGTCTATCACGACGGCGTTCAACGACGGGTGAAGGGGGCAAGACTAGAAGACAAGCCTTCGGACTACGACGAAGTGGAGAGAGACGCTCCATCCAGGATAGACGACGTCGTGGACGAACAGGCGTACGTCGCTCACACCACGGGTGACATGTTCATGATGCTTGCTCTGGGCGATGGGCAGAGTTGGAAACAGATCAAAGGAGGATCCGATCGCCGCATCTGGGACACTCTCGCCTCCCGCGTCTTCGCATGGGGACAGAACAGGATCAACTTCCACCAGGAAGCTGGCCGAAACCCCAGGATGCCACTGCTACGCGGCTCGGAGCGCCATCACCGAGGATAACACCCAGAGAGCGACAACTGGCACTTCCTCCCGGGAGGGGAGAACTACACATTTGCTGTAGATTTTGCCAAGTACATAATCAACGCTGCGAACGTATGCAACGAGCTGTGCTGCCCCATGTTTGACGCGACGGACCGCCCCTTCGGCGCCGCATCGTCTACGGCCCCGCCTCCGCCTCCGCCTCCTCCGCCACCGACTGCTCCCCCGCCGAAGGCTGCAGCTCCGCCACCCGTGCCCCCAGGCGCGCAGGGTCCGATGATGAGCCATGTCATATCCACCGGCGGCCACCACGTGCGCTGCCAGGTGGGGGAATTACAACCATTCGGTGATATTGGAACGCCGCAGTACCTGCCACCTGAGTCCGCCGACATCAACCCGAAGGACTTCTTGACATGGCTGGTGGAACATCATGACGACAGGCGAGCATGGGCGGACCGACGCTACACTACTGCACCATACGACGACGTGGCGGAAATTAACGGAAAGGACCTGGAAGCAGGTTCTCCCATGGAGGCCTTACTCTTCGACAACGAAATGAAGAACGTGATTGAGGCAGTCGAAAAAGGAAAGGCCATGCTGTCCACGGCAAAGTCTCGCCGACCAGCGGCACCGACCGTGGAAGAAGCGACGAAAGCGGCGACCGGAGCACCATCGTCGTCGGGATCTGCCCTTACAGGAAAGCCCCTCTGGGAAGCGACCATTCAGAGTGTTCTTCATCACTCCACCATCACTGCTCTTGAGGAACACATCGTGTGTAACTTCGGCAATGGTCGCATACAATGTCCACACTTCTTCAACGAATGGGAAGATCATCAAAAAGCTGTGGTCAGAGGGTCGAGGGCCGGTTCTGAGAGGCTGCCTCCCACCGAAACTATAGCACGATCCCACCAGGTCGTTGACTACGAACTGATGCTGGCACCCCGGGAAAGGGAGCACGCAGTTGAAGACTTCCACCTCATCGAGCAGTTCTACGAGAGCGACAAGTGGTACGACATGCTGAAAGGACGAGCGGCTGCTCGTGAGTGGGTGCTGGTCAGGATGCGCCTGGCGCGTTCTCCACGTATCACGGCGCAGCACTGCCAGAGAATGGCCATTGAGCACTTGGCCACGAGGCGCCTGCACACTACGTCAATTGCGAATCTGCAATGCTCTGCTCTATTCGATTGGGGGAAATCACAGTTTGTTGAACGTGAGTATTGTGCCATGCTCGAGATTCCGTTCTTGTGGCCTGACAGTGTCCATGACCGTGTCAGGCGGGGACAGTGGGCAACATTTT